CGGCAATCACTAAAATATTTCAACGACGAATTATAACAGTAACATAGTATAAGTAGATCTTGGCGATATAAACAGTATCGCGGTAATGTTTATGACTTATGATCATTCCCTCAGTGGCCTTCGAGCAGTGAGGTAGTAATGTGAGACGTTCCATATATTATCAAATTCTTTCTCTAACAATTATTTTGAACATTGCTCTATATAATAGATTTTCTCTTATCTTTTATATTTTTATTTATTGTTTATATTTGCGAATTAAAATTTATATAGTATATTACAAAATTAATTATATATATTATATTATATATAAAATTATATATATAATATAATATAACCCTCCCATGGGGTACACCTTGTCGCGGTGGGAGGGCTTAGTACCTGGACGGTGCTTTGAGGTTTATCTTAAATTTTCCAATTTATGATAAATCTTAAGGTGCCTGAATGGGAAACTAAGTACCCTTTTGCGTCATCGGTGTCGTCAACGTGCCGCGGATGGCAAGCGTTTCGTTACCGCGTTTTCGCGTTGTAATATTCTCGCGTCGTCGCATTTTCCGAAACCGGAAGTGTCATACAAAGTATTTATATATATATATATATATATATATATATATATATATAAAATATATACATCGCGCGACTAAATTTTTAATCGTACCGAATTAGTGCGGGAGTGCCGTTTAGTAGCGCGCGTAAAATAACGGAAATAGCGATATAAAAATATCGCTCGTGAGTGCAGGAGTGTCGTTAAAAAGTATCGCGCGTCAACAACATGAGAGGAGGAGGAGGCCTGGAAGAGGCATCTTGCATCGGCGGAGCAATCTGATGGTGAATAATTATTATTTGTATATCAATTGGTATAAATTGTACGCATAATAATTCGGTCTTATTATTTAAATGAATTAAAGAAAAAATTAAAGAAAAGGATTTTTATAAAAGTCATATACAACTTTCTATTTAAAAAACAGTTTCAAAAATTTATAAAATTTTTCCATACGTTTATCTCTGCTTATTATTTTACACATCGAATATAAAATTCTGAACGATAAAAATTTTTTGAAATATTGATTGCATTTTGTGAACATTATTATAAATAAATTTTATATTTGTATGTTACAGACAACGTAGCTTCGATAACTCCGCTGTTGCGCATCAGTGCCGGTGAGTAACGAAACATTTTTATTTAACTTTAAGGTAACGAATTCGTAGAGATTGTAGTTGTAGATTGTAGATCATAGTAATCCGTTGCCTTAAAATGGATGAGCTAGAATTATTTAAATTAAATAACTTTTAATAAGTTCTTTCGAAATGCTTTGCATCTATTGCGAAAATATATTGAAGTATTAATTAAAAAAAGAGAATCAAGAAAAGAAAATATTTTGTAAAGATTTTGTCTAATTTATTAAATAAAGAGTATTAATAGTAGTAGTAATATTAAGAGTAGTAATATTAAATAAAGAGCATTAATAATTTTATCAATTTTAACAATTTTTTATGCTACTTTATTTTTATAAAGCGCGCACTTATTGTATTCTAATTTCTTATAGCTCATCCATCGTAGAATTTGTTTGTAGATATTGTTTTTAAACTTTACTTTGACTTAATATAAAACCAAATAATTAATTAATTAAATAATTTGTAATATGATAAAAGTTATACACACACATGAGTTTTATATTTTATTAGAAATATGCAAAAATTTGTAGTAATTTGACTTTATTTGAGTTAAAATAAAATTATATTCAAATATTTAACGAACGATCGTAAAATCCAGCGATCGTTACGATGAGCGTGAAATATTTACACTCATTTACCGTTAATTAATCGGCAAAAGAAGGAGTATTTATCTCCTTTTTGGATCTCTGATTAAAGATCGAGTGAGAAAGGCCAGGATCAACGAAAAGTAAGTTCAACTGGCCTGAAGAAAAGCTTTACGTACAATAGTACGTAATGTCGGACATTTATTCACGCAGTTAGGACATGCGGTTAGAGAATGTAATTAGGACACGTAATTAAAATATACGTGATTAGAGATAGGCTTTCTTCGAATAATTTCACTTAATCGAAAAATAGGATTGTTATAGGGCTATTAGGTGATTGTTAGGATTTTTTAATATTCCTTTTAAGAAGTAAAGGATTATTAAGGCTATTATGTGATTAATTTAGGTGATTAATATATTACCCAGACAGCAGACTTTTCATAATATGTTTATAAAGGACTCATATTTTTGACCTCTTTATAATTATTTTATAATTACTTTATAAAAATATTACTTTTTGAAACTCTTGAACACTAAATCATAAGCAGCTGATTATGAGTTCCCATATATGAACCTGTTATAACATTCATACAGTGGTCAGAAAAATATCATTTTGATATCAGAAATGTGGCATGTGTTTCTTTACTTGCCGCTAGGCGGCGAGCCACTCTTAATTTAACTCGTATTCAAGATTTAGGAAATGTATATAAAGAATTAGTAATTAACACATAAGATTTAAAGTATATTTTTCCTTTTATGAGCAGTAGTGCCAGAAAGAGGACACACTGCTCATACGCATACAAACAAAGAAAGCCACATCCATGTGTTATGCAACATAATTGTGTGTGAACCGCATCTCTTGCTGATATAACTATTTATCAGTTTAATTTCTGACAAACTGAATTTAAAATAATTATAGAATATTTAGAAAATCATTAAAAACCTATTATAAATTGCACAAATTTTCTTAATTACCGAAATTTTTACAATTTAATAATATGTATAACTAACTTTTCTACGATCTCGTCTTCAGAATAAGTTCATAATACTATTCTTAAAGAACTCATTATGATTAGCTCACAAAGTGTCCATTTAGGTGGCGCATAAGATCACAATCCGATCACCTTAGCATCTCTTTTTGAAAAAAATTGAGGAACTCATAAAAATTTATGTAACTCATAAAAAGCTACTATAAGATGTCTCCGTGCTGTCTGGGTATGTATCTCTTAAAGAATCAGGAAATGTAGGTTTAAATAATATTAGGGAAAACAGATAATAAATATTTCAATAATTATATTATTAATATTAAGAATTTTTAAGGGGTCAATATTTTTTTTGAGTGTTTTTTTTATAGATATTTTATTTATATAAGGATAAAAATTAAATTGTTAACATTCAATAATTTTTATAGTGAAATTTTATGTATTTATGTAATACAAAATTTATGTACTTTTATGTAATACGAAATTTTAGGTATGTGACAGCCCACTAAATAGGTCCCAAAAGAGTGTGCATAAAGAGTATTTTCCCCACGTAAAAAAAAAAAAAGAATTATTAGGACTATTAAGTGATCATTAAAATTTTTTAAAATATTCCTTTAATGCTAAGAAAAATATATTAAAATTTTAATAATCTTAGGGATTAATCATCGTTAATCTTGTCTGGACTATATAAAAATTTTTAGTAAATTTAAATTGTAAAATATTATACATATATTTTGGACATTTTTGTGTCCAAATAAATGATTCCATGTTATAGATTATTTTGTATTACATTTAAAATTATATTATATTTTACATTAACTTTTGTATTAAATTTTGTATTGAAAAAAAATAAAGTTTTTCTTCTTCGATAATATCTCCACCTTAACGGAGGTATTTGCGGGGTGAGAAGGTTTGAGTACTCTAATGAACCTAAGAGCTATGCCGACGGTAATATACGCCGATATTCATATAGACTTTTCTTATATTTAAGATAATTTTAAATATGATCTTAAATATAAAAGTGAATTATGAATATCGACCGTAGTTTATACTGATAGGGTCACCCATGCCGGAAGGAGAAGACTAAGAGAGACACCAAGATTATATAAATATTTGTTATATTAATATTTTTAAATAAGAATACTCAAACCTCCTCACCTGGTAAATGCCTCCGTCAAGGTGGAGATACCATCGAGGAGGAAAAATTTTTTTTATTTTCTTTAATACAGAATTTAATACAAAAAATAATGTAAAATATGTTTAAATAAAATGAAAGAAAAAAAGACAATAATCGAAAAAAGAATAGAGAATAGATAATAGAAAAAGGCAACTACAGTGATTTAAATATCTATACCTGAGAACAAATGTCCATAGAATTTTAAAGTATTCCGATGGAAGAAATAAACATGGCAAGTGATGGTATTTTTTATGATGTTAACACAAAGGAATACAATAAACCATAATAATCCAAGAACTCGAAGAAGAAAATATATTGGATAAAAATGCATAGTGATCGGAAATGATTAGAAACTAAAATAAGACAGTATGCATACAAAACCTATTTATTAATAGTAATACTATTTTGTAATTATATTAAATTTTATAATTTAGTACGTTGTATTATATAAAATATTAAGCATAAAGGTATTATGCTGGTATGAAAATTATAATAAAAATATATAAATAATGTTAGCTATATTAGAATGGAACATATGAATTCTTCATATTTTATATAAAGAAAGAGACTTAAAATATTTTGCAACATCTATATTTTTCGAGGCTTAATTATAAAAACTTCAGAAGAATCAATGATTAATTTGACAAATTCTGTACATTAATAATTAAATTTTTAAATAATTAATAATTAAATTTTATTAATAGTTAAATTATTTTATTAATAATTAATTTTTTAAATAATTAAAAAATTGATTGATAAATATGAAAGATCAGTTTACTGTTAATTAAGAAGATTTATAAAAATACTGAACAAAAAAAACAATTGTGCACATTATATATTACCCTCTGAGAACATTCATGGACCTTGGCTTTGTAATTTATGTCCACGTTTTCAATGTCTATAGAGGGAGTACCGCTTTCAAGGATCACCTAAAAGCAGATCATGGGTCTGTTCTTCTCAGCTGCACTGCTGCACTAGTGCAATAAGTTAGAAAGAGACAAACATACTTTTTTTCACTCTAACTAATTGCACTAGTGCAGCAATGCAGCTGAAAAGAACAGACCCATTGACACCTCTCAGTCTTCTCTCTGTATGAGGTTAATCTACAGTTGTCAGTTGACATATTTCAATGAGTAACAATTATATTTTACGTTGTGGTACATATTTATAATTAGCTATATTTTTTTATTGTTTATTTTAAAAATAATAAAATGACTTCCAAATCTGAAGTCATGTTGGAACATTTTTACATTTTTAATGGCACATACGCTAAGAAAGAAGGAGAGGTAAACACAAATATATACATGTATATATGAAAGAAAATTTTTTTTAATTATTGAAATGTACAATTTTATACACATAAATATGTTTTTAGGAAGAAAAGAAAATATTATACTATTATCCAGAAAAAGATTTAGATGTTCAAATTAAAAACATAGGGCTCAGCGAAGCAATAATCAAGTTTACAGAGTATGTATCATAATTATATTTATCTATAAAGAATATTTCTTTAAAGATTATTACAGATCGTTTAATCCTGGTCAACCCTGTGATTATTGTCATACACACAAAACACGTCAAATATACTACCAACCAGAGCCTAATTTTTGGATGGTTATGGTAAGTATATTTTAAATTAATATAATATATTATACATATAAGAGTGTCTCAAAAGTCCTGGACCAGTCGAATATTTCATAAACTATGCACTTTAGAAAGAAATGTCAGACAAAAGTTGTATGGCTTGAAGGACGCCTTCAGATAGTGGCAATGATTTGACATGGGAGAGTCATTTGAAAGTCATTGGTGTAAAGAAAAAACATAGTTGTTTTTAAGAAAAAAATATGTAATTTGCAATTAATAATTACATTTTTTTTTTAAACAACTATGTATTTTCTTTACACCAATTGATTCCTCTCATTATTTTGTACATAAAAGTATTAAGATAAGATAATCGAAAAATGAATATTTTACTAGATATTTTATGATTTATGCAAAATTAAGAAATGATTTCTAGCCTCATAACTCGAAAAGTACTCAATGAAGAAATACTTTATTATAGTGTTTTGGAAAGCTCTCGAGATAAGCTACGCGAATATGTAATAAAAAATAGGGAGTTCCATTTAAGAAATTGACAGTGATCTTCACGTGACTTTCAAATGACTCTCCCATGTCAAATCATTGCCACTATCTGATGGTCCCCTTCAAGCCATACAACTTTTGTCTCAAACATTTCTTTCTAAAGTGCATAGTTTATGAAATATTCGACCGGTCCGGGATTTTTTATATTATTTCCTTATTATATATATATATATATATATATATATATATATATATATATATATATAATAAGGAAATAATATAAAAAAATTAATTTATAAACTGTGTCTTATAGATTGTTGGTATACCGTACATTTATAAAGAAGGAGATGGTAACAAATATCAAAATGATGAAGTATCTAGTAGTATTTGTCAAGCTATATTGAAACAGACATATATGATGTTTAGATTATTTATGGGCTCCTTTGAAACTATCATTAATGATCCTGAATGTGGTTCTGTAATGTTACTGAAACTTAAACTGGAACATTTTTATTCACGAGTAAGCAAATTTACATTTCTGTTATTATGAATTATATATAATTTGAAAAATATAATTGAATATAATTGAACAATATAAAATATTTTTATATTATATTTCTGTTTGTTTCAGTATCTGCTCTCACTAAAATTAAATAATAGCGATATTTTAGATATCTTTCAAGGTTTACAATTTTTACCTCTTGATAAGATTACATTTCTTAAGGTACAATGTTTCATGAATCTAGTGGAAGCTATGTTTACACAAATTAAATACACAGCATTTCTTTATAATGACCAAGTTGTTTGGTAAATTAAGTATTTTATATTTATACTTTTGCCATGATAAATTTTGGATAATTTTTAAACAAGTTTCATGTAATGTTTTTAGGAGTGGATTAGAACCTGAAGATATGCAAGTAGTTTATAATTATTTAGTGAGCACTCTTTTACCAGCTCATCTTGAAAAAGAATTGCACGGTGGTTCTATACCTAGAAATTCTCCTTCACCATTCACAACTTCACATTATGGAAAGTATGGACAGATATAGCTTTGATTTAATTTGAATGTGTTTTATGACATATTAAAAATATTTTTATTTTTATTGATTAATATTTATTTATTAATATTTTATTAATATTTTATAATTTATTTATTAATATTTTTATTTTTTGACAGATTTGTTACTGGGCCTGCTAGTGTTAACGAGCCTAATTTAATTGGAAAATCACCAAAAGTTTTTATCAATTACTCTACCAAGCCTGTATCACTGTATCTAGTAGTATATCGAGCCTTAAGTGCTACAATATGTCTCTTTGTTGATAGTAAGTGGATTACATAAAATTTAGTTAATTTTTATATAAAAAATTTTTAATATGAAAAAAATTTTTTTCAGAAAAAACTAGTTTATTAATTGATTTTTTCAAGAGCTTAGATAGCTTTCTGGGTCCACAGTTAACCACATTGGTCAGCTCTGTAGCCGAGCAATGCTCTAAACATGTAACAGTCACACCAGAATCCTGTACAAAGTATCTATATTTCAATAAACTAAATCTAGCATACAAAAGTACAATACATTTAGATAACAGATGCTATTCTAATGTTCTTACAACACCTGAAGTGTTGAGAATTATCACTGATATATATAATGATAGAAACAGGTATATATAGTTTCAGAAATCAATGCACAGTGAATGCACAATGAGATTAATTAATAATTTAATTAATAATTTGATACTTAGATTGAACGAGGCTGGAGAAATAATTATAAAAACTATAAGTGATTATTGGATTGTTGGAAAATTATCTAATTTGAGAGAATTCTTTGTTATTATACAGCAGAAAAGTGCAAGTATTATAGAAATTGATGGTAAGTTTAATATATTTTATAATATACAATTGATATATGATAATCACATAAATAATCTTCATTATAGATGAAGTGAAGAGGCTTTGTGAGAAACAATTGAAAAGTATTTTTTTTCACTAATAAATATATAATCAATAAAAATAATGAAATCACAAACACAGATTCTTTCATTTTTGACTAAATAAAAATAATATTAAATTCTTGAATGTCGCCAGTAGGTAAAATAAAATAATGTAATTTGAATCGACCACATTGGCAATTTATTGGTTGGTAAAGAATCACAATTGATTCTTTACCAACCAATAAATTGCCAGTGTAGTCGATTTAAATTACGTTATTTTAAATAAAAATAAATTTTAGAATAAATAATTTATCACAATAAAACAGATTTCTTTTTTATTTCACTAAATATCTGCAAAAGTAATGTACATTCTGAGATAATATCTTAATTATAGAAAAAGTTGTGTATTTTATACATATTATTTAACAAATTATAAATATGTGCTATATATGTATATTTATGTATATCTTTGTATATTATTCTTTACTATGAAAAATTATACTTTTGTCTGTAAAACTATATTGTATAAGCCGCAAATAATATGAATACCATATCATGTTATAATAATAATAATATTATTATACTGATTATAAATAAAAAAAAATACAAATATCGATTAAATGTTAGATATTTTTCCATTTGTATTTTATTGATTAGGAATAACATTAGAAAATTTTTTCAATTTTGCTACAAAGAAACCATACATGTTGTGCACATGTGGATAATATCTTTTGGTCAATTTCAATGAAGGATGAAATCGGTGTTGTCTGTAGCTCGTGAAACCATCAGCTCCAAATTCTAAACCAGTCGGCAATAGCTTAACATTACGCTTCTTAAGAGCATAATCAATAATCCATTCATTCTCTTCGGGTAGAATTGAGCAAGTTGAATAAACAATAATACCACCAGTTTCCGAACGAGCATTAACGCAATCTATAGCAGCCAGCAACAATTCCCTTTGTAATGTGCAACAACGTTGAATATCTACTTCCTCTTTATTAGTCTTCACACTGAGATCCTTTGCAATTACTCCTGTGCCTGTGCATGGAGCATCCAACAAGACTCTGTCAAAACCTTTCATAATCTGAAAATTGTTATATTTTCATTATAATTATGAGAGAAGAATCTTTACAATTTATAAGTATATTAATCTTTACGAATTATAAATATACTAATAAAAATCAAATCATACCGTAGGAAATTGTCTTCCATCATAATTACAGATTATAGAATTTACAACTCCAATTCTGTGAAGATTACCAACAACAGCTTTTAATCGATCTTTGTTTACATCGTTAGCAAATAATATTCCAGTGTTCTTCATAAGTGCGGCAATATGCGAAGTTTTACCGCCCGGTGCAGCACACATGTCGAGAATTCTTTCATTTTCTCTTGGCTCTAATACCATAACAGGTAAGAAGCTAGCAGCACCTTGTATAATGTAATGTCCTGCTAGATATTCTGGTGTTGCGCCCATGGGTACTTGCGAGGAATATACTACCAATCCAACTTTCGTCCATTTTCCTATCGGATCGAGATTAACGCCCCTACTGATTAAAGCCTAAAAATAGAATTAGCATAATTACATATACATATTTATATATAAGTTTACTCATAAGCAAACTTTATTTTATAGATATCGCGGTTTACTATACAGGGTAGTCCCGAACGTTCCAGCCAGACTTTGAAATCTTACAGGAAATTTAATTCTGAAGAAAAAATTTCCTATAAACATGGGTTGAAAAATGCTTCCTTAAAAAGTTATCGCTCAAAAAACCTCTGATGAAGGAAGAACAAAAGGTGAAAAGAAAATGAAACTAAATAAATTTCTTGAAAATCGTCTTTATTCATTTTCTATTATTACGTGCTATTACTAAAATATTAGTTAAAAAAAAAAATTATTTTATTTTCATAAAAGAAAAAGATTTTTATTTTTTATTTTTATCGTTTTTTTTTTTTCAAGAAATTTATTTAGTTTCATTTTCTTTTCACCTTTTGCTCTTCCTTCATCAGAGGTTTTTGAGCGATAACTTTTTAAGGAAGCATTTTTCGACCCATGTTTATAGGACATTTTTTGTTCAGAATTAAATTTCCTATAAGATCTCAAAATCTGGCTGGAACGTTCGGGGCCACCCTGTATAAAATATTAATCTACCTCTGCTAAATCCCGTCGTCGCGTTTTCAAAGTATTTGTACGGATGGTCATAGGTCTTTCTACTTCACTTGCTTCTAGAAATTCAAGTAATTCATCCAATGGGAATATTTGCATCAATTTTTCCATTAAGAAATTGTTATAACTGTAATATGTACATAAATCTCGCCGAAGTAATTCAGTATATTCAGAACGCGACCTATTTTTCTCCCGTAATCTCTTAAAATCTGATAATACTATAATAACGTCTCGTATTCGTTGCTGAATATCTTTTAAGTTAGTGACATTAGCAAGTTCTTCTTCAGTTGGAAAAGAGAATACACTTTGATGAGCAATCATATTGTCCATTTCTTCTTGTGCATACTTTCTATTTAAGAGGAGATAAAATAAATAAAACGAAGAGAATAAAAAGAAAGTATACTAATTGAATATGAAAAATGTACTTACTCTTCTTCTTGTTTTTTCTTTTTCAATTTTTTATTAATTTTTTCTATTGGAAGTAGATCATCATCATCACTTTTATTATCTGTCTCTTCATTACACTCTATTTGCTCATCATCAATAAATTCTTCCTCGCTGAATGTCATTTCTTCACTATCACTCTCTGCATTATTCAAAAATTTTTGTTTTGATTTTTTAAATTTTGCTGCGAAATGCAATTGGTCATCATCATCCATATCCTCTTCATCTTGTTCCATTTGAACATCTGTAATATTGTCATCATCTTCCTCTTCATCATCTTCATTCTGATAATTGTTATTAATAGCTGATTTAAATTTCTTTTCTTTCTTCTTTTTTAGCTTCTTTGATATATTTTTTTCCTGAAATATAATTAAATAAGAGATAGTTTATATATTAAAATTGAGATAATATAATGCATTTATCATATAGAAAAAAAACATACACTTTTTAATTGTATCTGTTTTTTGGAATTTTCTTTTTTCTTGAGTAATATTTTCGTATTTTCTTCACTATCACCTTTTGTATTATTCAAAAACTTCTGTTTTGATTTTTTTAATTTTGCTGCCAAATGCATTTGATCACTATCATCATCCATATCCTCTTCATCTTGTTCCATGTGAACATCTGTAATATTGTCATCAGCTTCTTCTTCATCATCTTCATTCTGATAATTGTTATTAATAGCTGATTTAAATTTTTTTTCATTCTTCTTTTTTAGCTTTTTTGATATATTTTCTTCCTAAAATATAATTAAATAAGAAAGTTTATATATTAAAATTGAAATAATATAATGCACTTAATATATAGAAGAAAACATACATTTTTTAATTGTATCTGTTTCTCTTTGGAATTTTCCTCCTTCTTGAGTATATTTTTTATTTTCGTATTTTTTTGTGGTTGCTGCTGCTTTAGTAATTTTTTTTGTAATCTTTGTTTTTGTCGACGACTTAATTTACTTATGTCTTTAACTACAATATCAAAAATACATTTATGTAATAATAATTTACATATCACTTTACACAGGGTTAATAAATATTTATTAATAAATTGCTGTGTTACCTAAGACTCCTTGTGGAAAAGTTGGATCGCTTTGCTTTTTGACTTTTTTTCCACGTCCAGTAGGAACTTGTGTTCCATCAAATTTTGCTTTACGACCCATAGCTAATAATAATAATAATAATAATAAATAAGATAATAACAAATATAACTATTCAATAAAAAGATTTTTGTTTTATTATTCAATGCCTACTTTTATACGTGCATGCATGCATCCACACAATACACAGAATCAATGTATAACTTGCTCTCAAATTTTATTAATTTAAATGATTGATATATTTCTGTGTATTTATTTTTTATCTATAAATTTATTTATTATATAATATTTATTGTATGTATTATTTATTGTATAAACAATCCCAGGATTTCAATCTCCACATGTAGTATTAAGAAGATAAAGAAATATCGTGAATCTATATTATATATTTTACTTTAATATTGAAGACAAATTGAATTAATAAAATCAGTATTAAAAATTTAAAAAAATTTATTACAAGTATGAAAAACTTTATTATTAAATATGCTGTTAAAATTGTCATGTACCTCAGAATCTAAATACCTCGCTTGTGTGCATGAAAAGGTTAGAAAAATTCCGTAAACTACAGATCCTTAAGTCCCGATTTACAAGATCAGGTCTGTAAAGCATCATTTACAATGGCAGTAGGATTAATGAATTAAAGCTGTAACTCAAGAAATTGACCAATCACAGTCGAGTATTCTCTTAATGCTTGACTGTGATTGGTCAATTCCTTAAGTTACAGCTTTAATTCATTAATCCTACTGCCATTGTAGACGATATGTAAAGGCCGCAGCACACACTTTTGCATAAGCGCATAACCATAAGCATAAGGAAATTGATTGGTCCTCAAGTATATGCATAAGAAAATGAACCAATCAATTTTCTTATGCTTATGGTTATGCGCTTATGCAAAAGTGTGTGCTGCGACCTTAAAGGCCATTCTACAATGGCCGTAGCATAAGGTTGTAAGACGTAAGACTCAAGAAATTGACCAATCACAGTCGAGTATTCTCTTAATACTTGACTGTGATTGGTCAATTTTTTGAGTCTTACGCCTTACAACCTTATGCTACGGCCATTGTAGAATGGCCTTAAAGCGTCGTCTACAATAAGAATTTAAGGAGACTTAGGCCCAGTTCCACAATCCAGTTAATCCGAGTTTAAGTAGTGAATGGACCAATCAGGACTCAGTTTAACGTATTAAACTCGGATTAACTCGAGTTGTGGAACCGGGCCTTAAGGCGTAAGACTTAAAAAACTGACCAATCATAGTTAAGTATTAAGAGAATATTTGATTGTGATCAATTTCTTAAGTCTTACGCCCTAAGTCTCCTTAAAGTCTCCGTCGTCTACAATGGCAGTAGGATTAATGGATTAAGGCCTGGTTCCACAACTCGACTTAATCGGAGTTTAATACGTTAAACTGGATCCTGATTGGTCCATTCACAACTTAAACTCGGATTAACTGAATCGTGGAACTGGGCCTTAAGCTGTAACTCAAGAAATTGACCAATCACAGTCGAGTATTCTTTTGATGCTTGACTGTGAGAGACACCTCCGATTAGACACAGTACAGTTGGACACAACTGGCTTTGATTGGCTAATCGTGCTTGATCGCGCTATCCTAGGCATCGGTCGATATAATTGGCTGTGTCTAATCGTACTGTGTCTAATCGGGCAATCCCCGACTGTGATTGATCAATTTCTTAAGTTATTGCTTTAATCCATTAATCCTATTGCTATTGTAGACGACGTGTAAAATCTCATTGTAGACGCCGCATTATAGATAATTTATGCCTTAAGCCTTAAAAGATTGACCAATCACAGTCAAGTATGAAAAGAATACTCGACTGTGATTGGTCAATTTCTTAAGGCTTAGGGCTTCAATTATCTGTTATAGATCGAGATTAAAAATGACGGAGTCGTAAGAAACTAACCAATCGTATTCAATTATTCTTTTCATATTAAACCGTGATTGGTTAATTTCTTACAACTCCATCACTTAGGCCCAGTTCCACAACTCGAGTTAATCCGAGTTTAATACGTTAAACTGGGGATCTGATTGGTCCATTCACTACTTAAACTCGGATTAACTGGATTGTGGAATTGGGCCTTAGGCCCAGTTAATTCTTAAGTCAATTCTTAAGAAGATGCCGCATTCCTGTTTTATCGATAAAATATCATATTTCTTTTGTATTGAAATCTTTTTAGTTGCGAAATAATAAATGCTCCTCCACGATTAAAGCGCATACAGAAACAAAGCGGAAATTTTTTGATTTTATGTTAAAAACAAAAAAAGAGAAAAGCGACTTCAAACTCCCCACCACCATTTTTAGCATCGCCACTTTAATCGGGACTAACTGTTAATTTATGACGAAACCGGTAAAGTTTAATATTGGGATTTCAATGCTTTCGTTTATAATGAATTTTAAATTCACTATAAACGAAAGCATTGAAATTCCAGTATTGAACTTTACCGATTCCGGCATAAGAGAGTTAATATAGTTATGGCCTTCATAAACAATCCTTAACTCGTTTATGAAAGGCATAATTATATACTAGTAATTTAAAGATCATTAACTTATGCCGCAAATTTTGATGTTCTGGTTTATAATAGTTTGTTGCATGCCGCATAAATGTAGAAATCTTTTCACTAACTAACTGACACTAAATTGATTATAATTATAGATCTTTATTCTCCATATCTATTTTTTTTTACACTTATGCCCCAATATTTTGCAGAAACATATAAAGGCCCATATTTTGAATCTTCTTTTATCGACAAAAAGTACCTCTAAAAGTAGCTTACAGCCAATGAGAAGACTTATAAGCCACTTTTAGAGGCACTTTTATCGATAAAAGAGGATTAGCCATCGAGGAATGGGAACGAACAACTTAGAGAAAGAGATAATTATATTTAGAGAAAGAGACAATCATATATAGAGTTCTTTATCCTTGTTATGATGATTTATGTTGATTTTCTGATTAGTTAATGCAGAAAACTTGTTTCGGTAAAACCCTTCTCGATCAACAAATAAAGATCGATACTAAATCAAAAGAAATATTAGGCGATCTTTGCTGTAGAAAAAAACAGTGGTTTGATGAGGAATGTAATGGAATCATAAACAAAACGAACGAAGCAATCGCCCCAGGTAGCAAGCACGCGTCATTTTGACGTTTCAAATTGATCATTCACTGACTATTCTTGACGTCACGAATTGACTTTTTATGACGTAAAAGTGACGGTCTAATGTCACAGATGTCGACGTCATGACATGTACCGCATTTTGACGTAAAATAAATAAAATATATTTTGACGTCTTTTTCTTAGCATAATATATTTAATAGTGTTGTCGAATAAAACACTTTCTAAAAGTGAATTAGTGTATTATCACTTGAAAAAAGTAACACTGATTACAGCAGTTATAAAGTACAGCACTGTAAATCAGTGATATTTTATTGAATTAGTTGAATAATTTTGACTATTTCAATTAATAATATCAATAATATTTCTTAATATCAGTAATATTTCTTTTGTTATTGCCAGTAACATTAAACTACAATTCATCTCTCTATTTCATAAATATAATATAAATATAATCAATATAAAAATAAATAAATATATATAAATATAAATAAATATATAAAATTAAAAATCTAATTTATATTTACTAAATATTTATTATATTAAAAATTTTATTTTATTTTACATGTTTTACATATTTTACATATTTTATATTACATGTATATTGAACTTGTTATTTTAAATAGATAACAAACGAATAATTTTTATTAAATAGCCAGACATTTATTTGTCCGACTTATAAGATCGATTTAATATCTGAATCCTCTTTATTGAGATTGTATCAGAAATTAAATCGAAGTAATATTTCTAATTTTATCTGTCATTCTTTACAAACTTTATATAGTTCTTATGACTAAAAGTACGAAAGAGATAGTGATCATAACGGTAAACGAACTAACGATTACTGGTTTTACAGTGAAATTTACTGATTTTACAGTGAATTTTATTTTAACAATTGTTAAAGTCTGATCGCGAAAGTCATGTTACATAAAAAATTTTAAAAGATTTTTTTATGGAATTGATGTACTAACTAATGACATTAATAATAAAATAATCGTCACTTCATGACTGACGTGACTGAAATGACGTCAAAATGTTATATCAAGACGTCAATATAAAATCATGTAAGAAATCAATCATTTGACCAAAAATGACCAGTTTAGAATGTCAAAATGACGTGTACTTGTTACTTGAGGTCAATATACAAAATGCCTTAGAAGAACCAAGCTAGAACGGTACTAATAAATAATTAGGAAAAGAATCGGACAAACTCTGTAGAAGCAAGAAAAGAAAACATCTGAACGATTTATAGGATAAAAGATTTCAGAAACAACAATGCTAAAACAGCATATACTGTGATAAAACAAATTAAAACCGAAAACAAACCTCTGCAAAGATAAAATGATAAATCAGATGACTGGAGACCCGGAAAAAGTCAAAGATAGATGGTACAGATACATCCAACAACTATTAAATGTTAATGTACTATCAAACACTATTTCTAGTGAAGTGGTAAATGAGAATAATACCAACGTAGAACCTCCAAAAAGAAATAGAAGAAGCAATATCAAGCCAAAAGAGGAATAAGGCCCTTGAAATAGACAAAATAACAGAATTAATAAGATATGGCGGCCCAAAAATGGTCAATGTAATGAATAATCAATGTAATAATCAATGTAATGAATAATCAATGTAATAATCAATGTAATGAATAATCAATGTAATAATCAATGTAATGTTGATTACGAAAATATAACAGAGACAATGCTAGAAGACTGGAACAAAAGCATCATATGTTTAATATGTAAGAAAGGAGATTAGCATATGTGTGTGCAAAAATTACAGGAACATATTTTTACTCTAGCACACAAAATATTCTCCAAAATAATAGAAAACAGAATAAGATCATAAGCAGAAAAAGTAATTGGAGAATATCAAGGAAGTTTCAGAAAAGGAAGATCAATAATAGATTAGTTGTTCTCCGTCAAATATTAGAAGAGTGCTCAGAATTTAACGTTGAAATTCACCAAATATTCGTAGACCTTAAATAAGCGATAATATCGAAGGAACAAGCTCTACGAAATATTACTCGAGTTGGAAATCCCGAGAAAACTCGTATAACTGAATCGTATAACTAAATTGATAGAGTCAATGGTACAAGTAAAGGTGGAAGTGATCTTACAAATTGAAAATAGATGAAAGCAGAGAGATGAGCTGGTACCAATCTTGTTCGACTTGGCATTAAAATATGTCATAAGAAAAACTCTCAATAGATCCAAAGGGAACACTGCTAATAAATAAATCAGTATAAATAGTAGACGATCATTTCTTTCGACCAATATCATAGTCATTGCAACTAAAAGCGAAAAAAGTATATGTAGACTTAGAGAAAGCAGCGAAAGAAGTGAACTTTCAAATTAACGAAAATAAGATAAAAGTTATGATACAAACCAGAAGAAAGGTGCAAGCCAAAATCTAACGATAGCAGAACATAATTTAGAAATTGTCAATGACTTCATATACCTCGGAGTCAACATGTCCAAAAATGGAAATGAAATTAAGAAGATAAAAAAAAGGATCGCAACAGCAAAT